TATGTATATGTATATATATACACACACAAACCAAGATGATTACACACACTATACACCTAGGTTATGTGGCTGATGCATGCAGGGCCACGATAACAAAAAAGATTAAATCAAGACACACTAACCATAAGATGTATGAGACTGCTGGCCTACAGTACATTTTCTTTTAGTAAGTACAAGTTGTACACTCTAAATATTATAATAAACCAGTAACAAATTTATTACTGTTAAGTATCATGTTCTGCACACAACTGTACGTGCTATACTTCAGGGGTTAGTGGATTGCTTATCCTGGTAACACACAAAACACATACTGCATTGTGCCTCAACAGTGTGACAGCTACAATGTCACCAGGCAATGGTAATTTTTCAACTCCATTATAATTTTATGGGACATCTACTGTTAATGGGCCCACAGCTGACAAAAACCTGTCATTATATGGCACATGATTATGTAAGTAACCCAATTCTGACCTCTTCACATATTATATCATATTTTGTCACCTGCATTTATGGCATTCCTTTAGATTACTGATCAGCAAACTTTCTATGAGAGGTCAGGCAGAAGTCTTAGGCTTGGCAGGCCAACATTATTACACAATCAGAAAGCACTTAAAAACGTTTAAAAAAAATTCTGGGCTTCTAGGCCCTACTTACAAATACAGGTTGTGAGCGGTAGTCTGCCTATTCCATACACTCAAAAACAGTCCAAAGAACAAAAGTATATATCCTGTCACATGAGAAGAGATGCAAATTTATTTCACTTTGGATATTAAAGGAGGATGGTCTATTTCTCCCAAACCCATATGTTAAAATCCTAACCTCTTGAAGTGTTAGTTATAGAAGAGGGGACCTCTGGAAGGGGGCTCTGCCTTTACAAACGGGATTAGTGCTCTCATAGAAGAGATGTGAAAAAGATAATTCCCTCTCTCCCTCTACCATGTGAGGACACAGAAAGCACCATGGACCAGGAAACAGGACCTGGCCAGACACAGCATCAATCTCTGCTGGCACCTTCATCTTGGACTTCACATCCTCCATAAGTGTGAGAAATAACTTTCTGTTGTTTCCAAGCTAGGAAGCTTGTAGTATTTTGTTAGAGCAGCCTGAATGGACTGAGAGGGCTAATGGCAACAATGCTTTCAGACAACCAAGCAATCACGGCACACTGGTCACCCAATAAGGCAATCTCAAGTATTGCTGTTAAATTCCCCAGGTTTCAGGCCTCCTAAGGTTTCTGTTTGTTTGTTTGTTTTTGGTACCAGGATCAAACTCAGGACCCTGAGGTATGAAGCAGGTAGCAGAATCACTGAGCTAAATCTACAACCCAGTTTTCTATTGTTTTAAAGAGTATACCATTGTATAAATTCAGCTCATTTGGACCAATAGATGTCTACAAAGAGGTTTATCAGATTAAATTGGATCTTGTAACAGAAGTCAGGAGACAGATCTTCTTTAACTTTTTTCTAGCCCTTATTCTCACTAGCTATGTGACTTCTGCCAGTCATTTGTTTTCGCTAGCATTTAGTCTTCATAAAGAATGTGACAAAACTCCATGACTCAAATACATGTATTTAAAATAATAAGCCAGGCATGGGGGAACATACCTGTAATCCCCACACTCCAGAAGTTGAGGCAGGATGATTGCCAGGAGTTTGAGGTCAGCCTAGGTGACCGTGGGTTCAAGGCCAGCGTGAATTAAATGGCCAGACCCTGTCTCACCACCCCTACACAAACCAAAAGCCTAAAATAATTTAAGCCCAGCAGTTTTCTTATGGGGGTGGAGGGAATGGGGTCTGGAAACTACGCCATTTGGTTTGGTTGTCATACTGGGGCAATTCCGAGAAACCTATGAAATACTTTCTGAAGGGAATACCAGCCTCCTCCTGTACTTGACCTTAAAATATTATTTCATCCCTCTCTAAAATTAATTAATCTTCTCAATACAAATCCTCCTTCTAACAGAAGCTTGAAATTAAATGTCCTTTCTCAAGTGAAAGTAACACTGAAGGTATCTGAAATCTGTCTGGTGAGCCAATCAATAACCCTGAATATCCTCATAGGAAAAGTAACAGGAACAAATTATGCTTGCCACCAACAGAGAGCTGGGTACTCCGTGAAATTATATAGGCAGTCTCATACTAACTTGGCCACATGGTCTCCTGCTTGGTGGCTAAGGGCAAGTAGGGAAGACCTTACTTTCCTAGAGTGTGACATCTGGTAACAAGAATGTGGACTCAATCTTTATTATTTTAGAATATAATGAACATAAAATTATCATGTAAAATTCTTTGAAAACTTAAAAATACTAAGTATATTATGACAACCCAATGTTTTAAGAATTTCTATTTCCTTAAATTTTTTTTTTTACATTTTGAGTGTCAATTTATTACAACATGGATACTCGCTTCTCCAGTAATCAATTCAATATGTTAACTGAAATTGAGGAAAGGGACAGATAAAAATCTAAATATCTCAATGTCATGTTTACTTTTTTCCTTGATGTTGAGACAATATACCCAAAGTTAAAGGGGAAAGGTCTATTTAGCTCAGTTTGTAGAGGTTCCAGTCCATAATCAGGTGGCTCCAAGGCAGAGTGGTACATGGCAGAGAGCTATTTCAGAGAAGAAACAGTTCCTGGCACCCACATACTAGGCAAAAGCAACAAGGGACCTGAACAGTGTCATTTTGCCCTTTTTATCTTACCCAGATTACTGAGACTAGGACGGTGCCGAACCAGAACCAATCAGTGGGCTAATTTAGTAATCATACATCCTCTACCCTAGCTTCACACACTCCAGATTCAGCCACCTCTGAAAAAGCCCTATGACAGCATGAGGCTTTGGAGGGACATCTATACACAAACCATAACATGCAGAGTGGTAATTAAGCAAGTATTGAAATGAGCTTATTTGGGACGTCCAATGTAATTCAACCAATACCCCCCCCACACCAATCCTATTCTACAATGAAATGGCTTACAAAATGTATGCACTGAGATTGAAAAATCAGTACAACTGAAAACCAAAAGCAAACCATTAGAAACAGAAAAGAAGGGCTGGGGATTTAGCTCAGAGGTTCAGTGGCCTGCCTTGCAAGTGCAAGGACCTGTGTTCAATCCCCGGTAC